CTTTCTTTCTTTCTTTCTTTCTTTCTTGTGCTGCCCATCTGCCCTACAAGGTGACTCTGGGCTGACAGAAAGATTTCTGCATTACAACTGTTCCCACCCACCCTTTGAATAGGGACATCTTAATCCTGACTGTGTAATATTTATAGCATTTTCATACCATTTATTTTAAGAAGACACTTTACCAGCATCAGTGTGAAAATTCTATTAAGCCATTTCAGGGGGATATAATTAAATCAGACAGCAGTCCCCATCATATTCAGAAGTTCAGCATTATAGCTAGTAATACGTTGTATATGTAAGATTTTTGCACGCTCCTTTTATGACCACAATTGCCATAAATCTCTATAAAAAGGAAGAAATAAGAGCCATCGACATCAATCATCCGTTAAAAGCCTTGGAGAATAAAAATGGCTTGGAATGTTGACTGAGTAATAAAAATGTTGGTCTTTTGATTTATTTTAAAACCTTCCTTCCTTTTAGGTCTGTCTAATTTTAAATGGCCTCAGTGACTGAAGGTGTAAGGAAGGAGGGAGAAAAAAATAGTAAATTAAAGAGGCTAGAGAAACACTCTTGCACATACTTTTTGTAGTTTACAAAAAGCAGCAATAAACAAAAGGGGATTTGTCCCTGATAAAACCAGAAAAAGCATTTTCCAGGAATGCTTTCTTGGGGAACAGAGGCCTTAAATCTGCACAGAGCATTTTTAAGACTCCTGAAAATACACTGAATCGTCAACAATTTTTATCTCTTCTACCAATTTAATTTTTTTTTCTTCCACTTTGTTTCTTTTCCTTTTTTGTAAAAAGTTTTTTTTATTTTTTAAATTTTATACATCTTTTCATGTGAGCAACATGTTTCCAGATTATAACACTTATACACAGTCATATTTTCATTTCCATTAATCTTATATATTAACTTATATTATTATCCATTTCACTCATCTTTAAATAAATTTGCAATTCATATATCAGTTCATTAATTCAATATCAATGTCATTTCATCCATACATAAGTTTTCAATTCTTTATCCCGTATTATTTCCATTTTCAGCTTACCACCTATTTTATTTTACATTACATGTCATTATTTTCCTTAATTTCCTCTAGGCCAATATATAATAAACAATCTAAAAACAGTAAAACTATAATAAAACCAATATATTTAGGATCCATATGGTATTTTCCATTCCCCTACTGCATTTCAAGGCACAAGCCATTTTACCTTTCCAGGGGAGTGGAAATAGCAGTGGCATGCGTATTGACACAGGCTCATGCACACATGCACGCAAGCAGAGCCAGAGAAGGAACCCAACTGGAGCCCAATGGCAAAGGAGGACTTACAATATGCAGCCAGGGGCATGTAGAGTAAAGCTGGAGTTTGGTGTAGTGGCTAAGGTGCTGGCTAGGAGACTGTGAGTTCTAGTCCTGCTTTTAGGCATGAAAGCCAGCTGGGTGACCTTGGGCCAATCATCCTCTCACACCCAACCCATTTCAAGGGGTTCTTGTGGGGAAGATAGGAGGAGGAAGAAGGAATTGAATTGAATTGTACTTTATTTAGCCAAGTGTGATTCAACTCACACGGAACTTCTCTCTGGTACAGAAGCACTCGGCATACACGCAGAGCAACAGATTAATAAATAACAAATGCAAGTAGAAAAATAGGGGCCACTTTGGTGGGAAGGTAACAGCGTTCCATGCACCTTCGGTGTTTAGTCATGCCGACCACATGACCACGGAGACGTCTTCGGACAGCGCTGGCTCTTCGGCTTTGTAATGAAGATGAGCACTGGCCCCTAGAGCCGGAAATGACTAGCAGGTATGTGCGAGGGAAACCTTTACCTTTAAAAGATAAGGATAAATAATGGGAGAGAGATAGATAGATAGATAGACAGACAGACAGACAGACAGACAGACCTGTAAGAATTAAGTGTTCAGCAGAGTGATGAGGTGGGCTGAGTGGAAAACTGGAGGAGTAGGAATGTTCGCTGCCTTGAATTAGAAAGGAAAGGAAAAGGGAAGGAAAAAGAAAAGGGGATGGAAGAAAGAGGAAGGAAGAAAACTAGATAGGTAAGTAGGTAGGTAGGTAGGTAGATTTATTTATTTGATTTGTCAGTTGCTTACAAGATAACAGGTATAAGCATACTGCAGTTATGAATACATGAAATGGGTACATACAAGAAAAATAAAAGAAACAATAGGACAGAGACGATAGGCATGTTGGTGCGCTTATGCACACTCCCTACAGACCTCTTAGGAAAGGGGCGAGGTCAATAGTAGACAGTCTAAGGTTAAAGTTTTTGGGGTTTGGGGAAGAAACCACAGAGTCAGGCAGAGTATTCCAGACATTGACCACTCTGTTGCTGAAGTTGTATTTCCTGCAATCAAGTTTGGTGCGGTTAACCTTGAGTTTGTATCTATTGTGTGCTCTTGTATTGTTATGGTTGAAGCTGAAGTATTCATTGACAGGTAGGACATTGCAATATATGATTTTATATACTATACTTAGAGCGGACCGAAGATAGATAGATACATAAGATATACACACACACACATATACATATAGAGAGTTTTTTTTTAAGTAAGTTGTAACCCAACAGTGCTGTTTTCTGAAGCTGCCTTTGTGCAGCGGGGCTGAATTCCAACTTCCTCCCGAACCAACCGAGCAAAGGTGGAAACCTTTGGCTTTTTTGGCTGCGCGCCCTGGACACGCGATCCAGAGTCCTGAAACAAAGCCTTGTTTGCCTCCGGGATTAGCTCTCTCTCGGCTACGGAGCTTCCTCCTTTCGGTCCCTCCCGGCTCCTCCTTCCTTCCCCCGGGCTGGGCCGCAGACGGCTCCCTCCGCCGGCAGCCAATGGCCGGGGAGAGGGCGAGAGGAGGAAGCGAAACCGCGCTCGGCCCCTTTTTTTTTCCTCTTCTCCCAGCCTCGGAGAGCCGTCGGACCGCTGTCCTTTCGGGCCGCCTCGGGCTTTCCGCGGGAGACGAGGAAGGAAGCTTCCAGGATGGGGGTAACGCAGTCCCTCGGCTTGCCCCACGGGAAGGGCGCCTATCCGGTCGGCTGCACCGACGTCATGGTGGGCCAGACTCCCAAGGTAGGGGCACAGCGGGCGCCGCGGGACGGGAAGTGGGGAACCGACGGGGCTTGGGGATCGGACCTCTCGTTTCAACAAGAACGTGATCCCAGGGCTGGAAAGTCGCTCCTTGGATGCGCACCTTGCAGAAAATTGGCTTAGAAAACCTGTGTGAACATTGACTCCTGTGTGCGTGTATCTTAGCTTAAGGTGTGGGTTTATCCTAAGCCATGGTTAACTCCTGGCTAAGCACAAATTGTAATCTCAGGTAGACACTGAGAGGTCAAGATATTGCTACTTAAGATTAGACCAGGGGTCCCCAAACTTGGCAACTTTGAGATTTGTGGAGTTCAACTCCCATAATTCTTCAGCCAGCTGGGAGTTGAAGTCGCCAACTGGGAGTTGGTGATATTCAGGCCTTCGTAGGGATCAGTGGTACCCCTTGTCTTTTGGACCCGGTTGACAAGGTTCCCAACAAAGAAGGTGAAATCAGTGTGACTCTGGTGGATGGTACCCCTAGGAGGAAAAATATATCAGTGTCAAAAGCGAATCACTGAGAAGAACAGGATCCAAAATGGATCCCCAGGTCCAAAGATTGGACATCTCCCAGATTTAGCAATTCAACATCTGCTGAGAAAGTCTACATCAGAGGTCTCCAAACCTGGCAACATTAAGACTTGTGGACGTCAACTCCCAGAATTCTGTGGATGTCAACTCCCAATTCTATATGGTCCTGTGGCCAGCATGAAATCCTCAGGTTTCCTGCTTGGGCAGGGGGTTGGGCTAGATGACCTACAAGATCCCTCCCAACTCTGATTATCTATTATCTGTTCATCTGTTTTCAGTTCCGCTGCATTGAGCAAGTACACCCAATGAAATAGTGATTTAATTCAGCCATGTGGCTAAACGTAAAACCAAATAAACTAATAGAGATTCTTGAACCATCTCTTCTTCTCAAGCTACTCCCTGATGACTTATATAGATTTGGTGTGCTTTGTGAACACCACTGAAACTATTTATTGTTGAACACAGTGTATTCCCAACCATGGCAGTTTTAAGATGTGTGGGCTTTAACTCCCAAAATTCCCCAGCCAGCATGCTGACTGGAGAATTCTGGGAGTTGAAGTTTACCCGTTTGAAAGTTGCCAAGGCAGAGAAACACTGCTCTAATATTTTAGGTCCAGGGATCCAGGATTCTCATAACATGTAAGAGATTTGCTCACTTTTGTCAACCTGGGCATAATTTTACACATTTCAGTTGCTACCATCATTTGCCTTTGGTTTTACAAAACTCTCAAGTTTTTCTTGTGTGATGTCAACTCCGAGCTTCCTCTCTTATCTTTGAGAACAGTTGTTGGATGTTAGTATTCCTGTGTTTCAGAAATGAATGCTTATTTGGTTTAAGTTTGCTGGTCTAAAGAAAGGGCCATGTGAAGTGTTAATACCACTTTCTAATGCCTTGGCAAGGCCACACTTGGAATACTACATCCAGTTTTGGTCGCCACGATGTAAAAAAGATGTTGACACTCTAGAAAGAGTACAGAGAAGAGCAACAAAGATGATTAGGGGACTGGAGGCTAAAACATATAAAGAATGGTTGCTGGAATTGGGTTTGTCTAGTTTAATGAAAAGAAGGACTAGGGGGGACATGATAGCAGTCTTCCACTATCTCAGGGGCTGCCACAAAGAAGAGGGGGTCAAGTTATTCTCCAAAGCATCAGTGGGCAGGATAAGAAGCAATGGGTGGAAACTAATCAAGGAGAGAAGCAATTTAGAACTAAGGAGAAATTTCCTTACACTTAGAACAATTAATCAATGGAACAACTTGCTTCTAGGGGGTTGGAAACAAATGCAATCTGTATTGTAAAACATTCTAAGACCAAAATAGAAAGCAAGATAAAATAAAGAGAGTCAAGGATAGCCGTTTATCTGCATCGGTGGTTGGATTCATAATTTTTTGCTACCGGTTCTGTGGACGTGTAGGGGAAGGATATTGTAAAATCTCTAGTCAGAAGTGGTATTTGCTGATTCTCCAAACTACTCAAAATTTCTGCTACCGGTTCTCCAGAACTGGTTAGAACCTGCTGAATACCCACCTCTGAACCGCATGCTTTGGGTTTATTTTTCTCTTTTTATAGAGGAAATGACTGACTTACAATCATTCATTTAGCGACTTTACAAAGGCACTGAAAAAGGATTGTTCCTTGCACTTATGACCTTTGCACGGTTTCCCCACAGCCCACATGATCAAACTGATCCCACTGAATCCCTTAGAGCAGGGGTGTCCAACCTTGGCAACTTTAAGACTTGTGGACTTCAAGCTTTGCTGGCTGAGGAATTCTGGGAGTTGAAGTCCACAAGTCTTAAAGTTGCCAAGGTTGGACACCCCTGCCTTAGAGTTCAAACCAGGAGCTCCAACCTCAACCCCTACATTAATTTAGCACTTATTATAAGCAATGTTGATTTATCTGAGTTTGCAAATCCCCCTCACCCCCATTTAAATGATATCATACATTTTGGAAATGGTGTGAGGTTTGTTTTTTTAAAAAATACTTTTATTTAAAGATTTTGCTTGTCGGTGCATTTTAACACTGAACTGACGCAGTGTTTCCCTTTTCTTTCTTCTGCTTTTTAGTGATTGCACAATTGTACAGGATAATAGTTCTAACACTAGTAACATTCTTTGTGTGTATAATAAGTGCGTCATTTGCTTGTTCTGATTTTTATCTGTCTGTGTTTAAGAAATTGGGGGTGAGCAATGTAGCTAACATTGTGCTGTAGAGCAAGGGTTGAACTCCACAAGTCTTAAAGTTGCCAAGGTTGGAGAGCCCTGCAGTAGAGATTGCCTTGCGAAAGAAAGGGCCAATCTGTGCTGGCATCTTGCTTTCTGTCTCTCTCTCCCTTCCTCCCTCCCTTCTTTCTTTCTTTCTTTCTTTCTTTCTTTCTTTCTTTCTTTCTTTC